CCCCAAAACCCCAAAACCCCAAAACCCCTAAGGCTAAATTTTCTGAAGATTGCTCTTAATATAAAAAAAATCATTATTCCAAATATAAATCTAAGAAATTTTTTGAGATATTTATCATTCAATACTTCTCTGGGATGATTCACTTCTAAGAGGGTTTTTTTCTTTGGCTTTTCTTGTTAATTCCTCAACTTCAGATTCAATCTTTGCTGCTACTCTTATATTATCAATGGTACTATTGATACTTTAATAACTTTTGGTAATTAGAGAAGTTAAACCTTCAATTTCTTTCTCCTTGAATTGATATTTCTTTTTGAACTCCTCAATCCAACCTTTTTTCTGGCTATCTAAATGCTATCTCTCTTTTTCCATTCTATTTTAGCATTCTTATAACTAGATACTCAGAGTTTTGATCTTAGAGTTTGAGAGATTCAATTGATCTTACAGATGAGATTTTTCCAATGAATGCTGAAGATGTAATTGTTTCACTTCTTTTTCTTTAGTTATAATCTCATCTCTAAACCTTTTATTGAATTCTTTAACTGAATTGTTGAGAACTTTTAGTTCATCAGAATATTTTCTCTGCACTTCTCTCTTTGCAGTTTCAAGGACCTTAATAAATTCATTTTTTATATTTTTAGAATCTTTTACTCTATCTTTTCTTATCTTTGCTAATTTTTGCTCACATTCCTCAAATTGCTAGTGAAGTCTCTAGTACTCTTGCTCAATTTATTACTTTTCGTCTATTACTTATTATAGGAAATTTTCTCTTTCATGAATTGTGTTCATGAGCTATTCCTAAATATTGTTTTGCCCTATACATCTAATGAACTCTTCAAAAAATGTCTTTCTCATTTTATTAAATTATGAAGAGTACTCAGTACTTTAAATTTCTCTAATCATATCCAGTTGCTTTCTAAATTACTTAAATTACTTTGAAGTTATTTTTTATATTTTTGCTATTACCGTTTGCCATTTACTTCTTTCATTTAAAATATCATTTTCAGTTTGTCTTTAAATGTCATTAATTTAGATTTAGAATTCATTTTTAGTCACCTCAATGATTTCTTGCAATCTCTCGCACTCATTTCTCAGAGCTTGATTATCTTAATCCTATTCCTCAATTCTTCTCTATTCATTGACTCTTTCATTTTCAATCTCCTGCCTTATTTCTTGAAGAAGATGATTTTTATCTAAGAGATCATTTTTAAGATAGCCATTCTCTGAAGATAATCTTTAATTTTATTGGATTATATCTTCTTTTTAGATATCTGATTTCTTTTGTAAGGACCTTAATTCATGAGCATGCTCTTCTTTCATTTCTTTTATTTACCAATCATACTACTTAATTATTCTTTGCTCTTGCTCCTGCAATGCATGACCTCTCTCAGCCTCATATTACTCTTTGGCCTTTTTAATTATTTACTGAGTTACTTTCTCTCTTTCATTTTCCCTTTCTTCTAATCTTTATGAGATCTCAGCTTACATCTATTCTTTTATTTTTTTAACTCTTTCATGAATAGATAAGTCTAATCTTTAAAGTTCTTAATTCAAAATTTCCTCATGCTTCTAAACTTTTATATAGTCTTTTTCAATTGTAACTATCTTTTAATTAAGATTATTTTTCAATTCTTCACACTCCCTTTTGAGTCTTTCATTCTCTTAGAGTTACTCTCTTTGAAGCTATGACATCTTCTAATCAAAGATAAGTGTGCATTCATGCTTCATATTTTATACTTGAATTGCTTATTATGATTGGACCGTAACTATTTATCTTTGATGCTCTAGTTCCTCATCTTAAAGTCGATGCTCCCACTCCTCCTTTATTCTTCTCATATCCTCTCTCATGTTTGAAATAATCAGCTCGAAATTGTTCTTTAAATCATATTGTAACTTCCTTTCCTTTTCAATTTCCATTGCATACTATTCTTCTTTGTCCTTCAGATCCTAAATTTTCCCCTTATAATGAGCTAATTTATCCTAAAACTACTACTTAGCTTTTTCAAGTTGATCTACCTACTATCTCTACAAATGCTCTCCATAATTATTGAATTTCTCCATCAATTCTTGTTTCTCTTAATCTAGCCCATTTTTCTATTCTTATTAATTCTAGTATTCTTAAACGAGTCTTTAAATCTGCAATTGCATGTCAAAATTTTGAGTTTTTACTAATTGCAATTCATTTGATTGCTCCTACATGTGAATCAATGTTTGATCAAACTTTAATTTCTTGTTATCGAATTCCTCTTATAATGTCTAGTATAATCTTTTTACCTAATATAATTCTTGTTAGAGTTATTAAGTCTGCTTCTATTTATCTTAAATAGAAACTTCATATTGATCAAGCTAAGCTTTGCATTGTTTAAACTGTTGTTTACAAAAATTAAGCTCTTCATCTTTTTAAATAATAATACTTTTGAAACTTGAGTCAGTTTGCTAGAATCCAGTAGATAGTTACATCATTTTCTCCTTAAGTGCATTATTCTCCTGCTCAAGATACTTGCTTCTTTGAATTTCTTTGTCAAGTTAATCTTGTATTTGCTGGGGAATGTATGATTAAGTATATAAATCATTTTATACAGCTGCAAGCTCACTCTTAAGCAAAGAGATTTCTTGAATGTTTTTCTCAATTTGCATCTCTTTTTCATTAAGGACTGTTTCTTCCATGATTTCTTTAATTCTATCAATGATAAACTCCTAGGATACAGAATTTTCTTTCATAGTATTTGCTATTTCATCATTGGCTATCTTTGTATAGATTGTGTTTAACTAAGTTTACATTTGGCTTAATCTCTCCTCATAAAGTATTTATAAATTCTTCATCCTATCTTGACTATAATTCACATTCTAGTTCAAGTTAAATCCTTTAACATTAGATTTATTGGCAGAATAAAGCTAACTTCTATTTTGTGATGATTCTTTTATTGGAGGAGAATAAGAGATATGGTGAATAGATTGGTTGGTAATTGAGTTGCTTTGGTTCATCTTTTGATTGCCTAAAAATGAGTTTGCCATCGAATTGTTTGAGTAGTTGTTTGTCTAATTGGTGAAATTGCTATTTGGGACTAAGTATTTATTTATAGAGCTTATGTTGTTATTACTCTAGAAGTTCAAATTACTCTGCCCTTTTTAATTCTTTGGCTATTGTTAATAGCTGTTGCCATTCGTAAAATTACTAATGTCCTGAAACATATTTGAATTATTTATTTCAAATTTTTAAATTAGAAAATGTGACTGTTCATTCTATTTCATGGGGTTTTGGGGTTTTGGGGTTTTGGGG